CACCAATTGTAGCCTGGCGTCGAGTTGAGGTTAACTATGAACACCGCTACCAAGAAACACGTGAAAAATAGATCAGAAGGCGTAAGAATCTCGTTCCAAATTACTCCATAAAATCCCCGAGAAGCCGAATACCAGAAGGCAATTAATGGACCAAGTCGAGGTTTATTTGCTGGCGATCTCGTGGCATCGAAAGGATACCGAGATCGTGCCAGGATACAAGCTTGGTTACAGAACGTAACCGAATTCGCGCGAAGTTACAATCAAAGTGTAAGTATAAGAATGGAAGCACAAAATAGCTGTCATTAGCACAGTCAAACAAAAGCACATTAAAACAGTCACTGGTACACTTGGTTATAATAATAAGCGTTTTTATTAAACCAGTCGTGTTCTCGTGATAAATGTGAGTCACTACAAGACTATCAATACCCTGTGGATAACTCCAAAGGATGGTACCACTAAATTTGCATGATTCTAACGAATGCCGTTTCCAAATGGTTTGGTAAAAATTGATGCCTGTGGTTGTGTCAGCAACGCTGCCAAAATTTAAACAGCGTGATATACAGAGCCAATAAAGTGATGAACTCTAACTAAAGGAGTATTAGCAAGTGTAATCGAGACGAACTAGGTGCTACTCGCTTGGTTTGTACACAAATGGATGTGAAGTTACCTTTAGCAACCAGAGTCGATTAAATTAAATGGGGCAAAGGAGGTAAGACAGTCCTAAACGAGGTTTAAAGATGACATAAGTATTTGCAGTTTGACAACGCTTTAACTAGTAACACCTTTTATAATGGAAATGTTCCCAGCGGTCTAGGAAACGTGAAGCACGGCGTGCTTACTCGTGATCTGATGCGGATGCGTGACCAGTCAACTTCAGCTATGTGAGTCCATCAAAACTAATGGGGTTAGCATCAAATGTCAAAGACTTACAGTGTTATTGGTTTTGCGGATTTATTTACCGCTATAGGTATACTGGGAATGTTAGCTCAAGAGAGAATGTTTCTTCTGTCCTCCGCTTTGCAAATGGCAGCGATCAGGAAACGCCTAGAAAATCAAAAATAAATGCTTGATCTGTTCCTAACGGGAAACTCAACAACATGACTACCAAAGTCATCAACAATCATCAAGGATCCAACAGTGTGTAACGCACCTGTGATCGCTACCCTAGTGAAAATCGATGATCATTTCAAATCAAGAGTATAAAACGGTCAAAAGTTGCTAATGAAAAACCAGTCTCTTAAACAGTAGCCAGCAAACTGAAGAATGATCGTAGTGACAGGTCAATTGTTTTTCCCAGAGCCAAGGAGAGTGAAGGTTCAAAACCCAGAACTCGCCTTGGGCATGATATTTTGTTGATAAAATAGGTACCAGATAATGCCTCATGATATTTCTGGGGTCACCTTACTAAAAGTTTATAGACTACGTAGCCAAATGAAATTGAAACAGAGTCAAACCAGGCTGCTAAAAGTGGCATTTAAAACTTCCAATGAAAGGAGTTAAATATTATGAAATGGCCATTAGTTATTAAGGAATCCGTAGAACACCGTAAACGCTTGTAATCGTATATAAATCAAAGGACTGAGAAAAGAGGAAATATGCCAATACTATGAAGACCAAAAGTTATTATAGATTTGACCTGCATTGACCTCGTAAAATCCCTTGACGAAGGTCCTCACAACCAACTGTTATATAGGTCGAGTAATATCGGGATTGGAGGCGATTTATGATTGTGGGCAACGAAATTCCTAGTTGGACGTCAATAATGATTACGGCTGGACGTTACTCGTGTTTTGTTGATAGAAGAAACCAAATCAGTAGTGAATAGGTCTTTATTTAGATCGTGGGACAGTTACAGTGGAGCGGTATGTTACCTGTTCAAATACACAAAGCTTTTTAGCATTAAATATAGGATAACACGAAATATAATGCCTATACGAAATAAGAAAGTGAGTGAATACTTGAGTTTTATTGCTTTGATATATACTTATTTGTTTGAGGTTAACTCTTGAGTGATAAACTTAAGTTGTTACAAACTTCAAGCTGTTTAGCTGACAAACTGTGCCTAGCGGTGTGCCTCACGGCACAGCTTGGGGATCAGCGTTGTTCCTTCTGGATGCAAATGACCTCCCTGTTCTCCTGTCATCATTGGTTCTGTTATATGCTGACGATGTCAAGACATGGAGAGCGATAAAAAGTAACGGTGATTGTTTAGATCTTCAAAATGACCTGGGAAAAATAGCCGAATGGTCGAAAATTTGCCATTTAACTGCTTCCAAATGCAATATAATGCACAGTTGTCCACAAGATACAGGTACATACAAGGTGAATAACAACGAGCTACCTGTTGTTAAGACATCCAGTGACTTGAGAGTCATCGTAAGCCAAGACTTAAAAACTGCTACACGTTGCCACTTGATAGCCACTATAGGTTTTGGAACCCTATAGTCAGTATGTAGGACCTTTAGCCATGTCGATGAAGTTTCAGTTTCAGTTTGGGAAGCACAGGAGGCTCGATGGCCTATGTTAGTCCTGGCAATGGTGGTCTCTCAGTTGATCCAACTTTCTTTTGAAAGAGTTGACGGATGGAGCCTCAACCACGTGCTGAGGTAGTGAATTCCACTCGTTGATGATTCGATGGGAAAGTCGATAGTCAGCTGACAAGTAATTTGTTCTCGGCTTATGAACTTTTTTGGAGTGTCCTCGTAAATTCTCTGTTTTGGAAGACAAGAAAAATGAGGGCATGTTAGGTGCAAATTTATCACTAAGCAATTTGTAGACTGTAATCAAGTCGCCTCTAGTTCTGCGATATGACAACGGGAAAAGGTTCAGCTTGGCCAGTCGAGATTCATACGGAAGCTTCGCTATTGCGGGAATCAGCTTAGTCGCCGTTCTCTGAACATTTTCCAGAAGCTCACTGTCTTTTTTAAAGCAGGGGCTAGCCGCTTGTATGCAGTACTCAAGTTTAGGACGAACGAACACTGTATACAAGGTCAAAAACGTCTTAGTGTCGACATGACTAAAAGCCCTACGTATTGACCATAACGTTCTAAAACTTTTGGCGGCTATTGCACGGCAGTGTGCAGTAGTCTTTAAGTCTTGACTAACGATAACTCCTAAGTCATTATGTCTGGACGACAGGTAGCTCAGTGTTATTCATCGTGTATGTATCTGTGCCTTGATGACCGATATGCATCACAACACACTTGGAAGTATTTATCGGCAACTGCCATGTTTGAGACCATTCAGATAACTTCTTCAGGTCATTTTGAAGTTCTAAGCTATCACTCTTACATCGTATCGTTTTCCATATCTTGACATCGTCAGCATATAGCAAGACCGATGATGATAGGAGACAAGGAAGGTCATTTACATACAAGAGGAATAGCACTGGCCCCAAAACTGTACCCTGGGGCACTCCACTAAGCACAGTTTCCCAGCTAGATAACTTTGAGTTCACCCTTACTCTTTGTTGACGCCCAACTAAGAAGTCTTTTATCCACATCAATAAATTACCTCCAATCCCGACATGTCTTAACTTATATAACAGCCGGTTGTGCGGAACTTTATCAAAAGCTTTACTGAAATCAATGAAGGCGACGTCTACAGGTAGCTTTTGGTCCTTAAGAGCACACCAGCTTTCACGAGCCACTAATAAGTTAGTGAGACAAGAATAACCTATTCTGAAGCCATGCTGCTTCTCCGAGAGGATCCGGTTTTTATCGAGATACTCAAACAGCTCCTTCCGAATAATCTTTTCTAATATTTTAACAACCACACTAGTTAGGCTAACGGGGCGGTAGTTCTCAGGTTTGTGTTTCGTGCCTGTTTTGAAGACAGGACTTACTATGGCGTTTTTCCAATCTTTCGGTAAGCGACCCTGCGTAACGGATAGGTTAAAGCATGTACTTAAAGGGTTCGCAACGAAGTTAGATAATTCCTTCAGTAGCCTAGGATGTAATTCATCGGGCCCCGTGGATTTACCTATGTCAAGCTTATTTAGCAGACCAAAGACATCGAGTTCTTTAATGGTCACGCTATCCAGTGTATGTATGGGGGATCTGTATACGCTGACGAGAAGGGCGCTTCTATGGTATACACGTTGCTAAAGTAGTTCGAGAACGCTTGAGCCTTACCAAAGTCGTCCTCCACTAATGATGAAGCAGTACTGTCTCCCCATAGAGCAGGAATATTTCCTTTTCTCCTTGTCCTTTGGTTTATATAGGAATACAAGCGTTTAGGACATTCTATGGATTCCTTAACAAGTTTTTCTTCGTACAATTTTCTAGACTTACGGAGGGTCGAGGCACAAGTGTTCCGAGCCTTTCGATACTGAGATTTTGACTCATCAGTCCCCAGTAACCTAAATCTATCCCACGTTTTCCTTTTTTTACGGAGAAGGATACGGACCTCCCTACTGAACCATGGTGGTGAGTTTTTCGGCCCCTTTGGTATAGTCCAAGGGATGTGAGGTGTGGTAACTTTTAAGTATGATTTTCGAAATGCGTCCCAGGCCGTTTCAATGGAGGACTCTGGGTCTATTGTCCAATCTATTAACGATGCTGAGTGCATGATGTCTGGTATGTTTGCTTTCCAGACGTTGGGTCTGGACTGGACTGACGCGTCCTCATGACTGGCAGTGATATGGAAGTCGAAAGTTAAAACTGCGTGGTCACTTTTACCTAAAGTCTTTTTGACAATGTATACAGTATTCGTCCGTTCGGAACTTGAGTACTGAATAAAAGCGGCCAGCTCCTGCTTAAAAAAGACTGAGCTTTGGGAAGAGTCCAGAGAACCGCGACTAAGCTGATTCTGAAAATAGTGAAACTCCCGTATCATGTCCGACTGGCTAAGCCAAACATATTCCCAGTGTCATATTGGAGAATCAGAGGGACCTTTATCACTGTTTTCAAGTTACTTAACGACAAATTTGCATTAAAACTGATAGTGTTTTCTGTTTCTGCCAACTGTTATTTGTTTCTTGGATTTTGTTTTTTTCCTTTGCTGTATCGTGGGATACTCGTCTCCTCAAGGTCGTGTTGGCATCCTCTCGACGTCCTCTTTGAAAATGTTGATGTGCATATATGGGCAATAATATTTCTGACCCCTCTATTCACTTAGTAAAAAGCGACTGTTTGAGAGGCGGATTTGCGATCTATAAAAATGATAATTATGAGGTTTCATTCCATCATACTGTTCAACCTACATATAACAAGTTTCGCATTATCAAGTACCTTAAGACACATACGACAACTAATAGAAATGATGATTCGCAAAGTGATGTGAAAATTAGTACGTGTGCAAACGTGCTTGCGTGTGATGATCTACTCAGCTCGTCGGTAAGTTATTTCAACTGTTGCTGCTACTAATCAAGATACCTGTTAGGCTGCGTCATCCGTCTATTCTTCGTGTCCACAAGGCTTGTTCTGATGGACTTAACAGTTTGTACTTGGTGGTTGAAAACTCAGTCCCATTTAGTGCTTTCGTTACCAATCCCACAATGGATGACCTACTAGCTGGGTCCTATAGTCTTCTCTCTGCTCTCAACTTCCTGCATAATACAGTAAATCATTCTCAACTAATATCCCTTCGATTAGCTTGGAGTTTCGCACAATAACGTGGATACTACCAGCGTATTTATTGGTTCGAATATGTGTTGGAAGTTGTGCGGTTTTGAGCTCGCTCTGGAATTTAAGAATATGTCTGCTGACCATATACGAAGAATTGAAGCTTTAAAGGGACAACAAGACGCAAAAGTGGGTCAAACAAAATTATTTGACGCTTTTCAGGCTTTAAATTTTGATCCGGCGTATGCCTTCTGTTATGATATATATTGTTTTAGCCGAATGATTTGTACGCTAACTGATATAGGAGAAGGTTTTGTACTTCCTCACTCATAATTGTTTTATTTCCGCAGGTCCTCTCTATAATCTCGTACAGGTTTTAATTAACTCTTGCATGCATAGTTTACCCAAAGCGCGTATACCTTCTGACCACCTATTAGCTCACCCATCTTTCAAGTAAGCTTCTTCGGAATTCTTAGATTTGTTATTTAGGAGCCCATATATATCCACATTGGATTTTTTAGACACATATGTAAGTCGTAGTGATGAGGAGAAGGAAGTGTTCTTCAGGTATAACTATTGTAAGATTTTTTGGTTCTGTCAATTTTCATTTAATAAAGATGTATGTACGAAATCTGTTCAGTACCATTTGAGTTATTGTAGTTTCAATTGATTGCGCACTGGCTCACTCACTAGTATCCAATCACTCACTACTGAAATAGAGCATTATACCTGTATTTATATGAAAGTTCATGTTAATCAATGTAGACGAAACCTCCACCTGATCCAATTCATTACCAACTAGTCTACTTGACCTAATATTCTGTCCCGTTTAGTAAAAGCAGCAAGTTTGTCGTTAAGCTCTAATGCTTTGTGGGGTTTGTCTATTATCAAAAGCCAGAGTGACCAAATTAAGATATGGCATCAGTACATGTATTCGATTATTGACCTTTGGCTTGTTCTTATTTATTATTTATCTGAACACAATTATTAGTAAAAGAGGGCATCAAGTACATATGCGCGACACAACAAAAATGAGGCTAGCAGTAGTTACTGGTCTGTGTGAGGACTGTAGTACTGCCCAGGTGCCCAAACCGAGGCAGGTGGTTTTCTTAGAGGGCCACTCGCTGAGCCTTTGGCCTAGAGGTCTGATCCACAAAGCAGTGGAGCAACGTCAGAAGATGCAGTCCAATAGTAACCGATGACCAACAATTCGTTCATACGCCATTTGTTCTCTCGGGGTTTTGGGACCCATGTACACTATTGGTTTGGAATCAAGGTTTTCCTACTCCTCTAGATGGATCCTCCGTGTCCACCAACCCTGTTAAAGCGCTGGTCATCCGCTTTTCGTCCTCTCAATTTGGTGAACAACACTCCTACCACGAGAAAGCAGTGAGTAGGACTTCCCTTGCAGTGGCTGTATACACGTGGTCATGTGAGAGCATTTCGAGACGGCGAACGGACTTTCTTTACCCTCGGCTGTACCAGGGTATTTGAGTGTCTTAGTCTTGTTGGCAGTTGCGGACTGTTTAGCTGGTGTTCGTGCGATTACCATGGTCAATAGTTCGGGTCATTGGATGACATTGCACTTGACGAATCCACTCTTCACGGTTGAACTCAAAGTTCATAGAAACCAATAATCAATTGTGTATTCGGAAGATAACAACATTTTTAGTGTCTTTCAAAGCTTCTACAAAATCTGGTATTTAGTCAGCTGTTATAAAACAGGGTCTCATGTTTCTTTTTTTTATGAAACCCTGATCGTGATAAAGCTGAGTGATTGATCAACGCATTGGTACGAAGTGGCTGCTCACGAGAGCGAATTGCTGACTTAAGCTCCCGAATGATTTGAAATTAAGAAAAAGACCACAAAGCAGAGGGAAATGTTTGTATATCCAATAAAATTACATGTTTATGTGCATAACATGATAAAATGTCGTAGGCGGCTGATGGGCATTAGTATTTAAGTCACTAACTCCAGTCGGTCAGGACCTGATCGTTACGCCTAATTCTTGCCTTTCATGACATTAACATATTCATCACCAAACTGGACTTTTATTTGCTTAATTTAACTTGATAACAGAGTCTCCAAACTAAAGTCACATCCTAATAATCCTACTCTAATAAAGATAAACACCTTGAAACATATCAATTATAAAATAAATGAAAATACTGAATGTGGATAACCCTGACGCAGACCATCTAACTTAATCATTTCAATCAAACCTTTTATAAAGGCCTTAAACAGAGTTACTTGGGTTTTTGGTACCCATTCGTGGCAAATAATATTGTAAGACCTCTTGGTATAATGGGTTGTATACGTAACACAGGATGGAGATTTTGAAGGTGCTTGCAAGGTTTGGCGCCACTCCAATGTGAAGAACGTTCACTACAATAGGCCTGTCCAAAATGGTGTCTTTTAGTATAATTTACCTATCAAATATTGATCTGTATACTTGGCTTTAAAACATATTGAAAACTTGCGATACCACGGAGTTAGCAGAACGTGTTTTAAACTTTGAATCTGGTTGAAAGACGACTTCTTTAGAGACTAAGGCATCTCCTTAGTAATCGAAGCACAACTTTCATCTATCGGGACTCAGATCCAAATCTAATCCTTACTACGTTAATGGACATAATCGAGTGTTAGGTTTGGAGCTTCACGAGTTTACTTAATCTTCGAACAAGAACAAGACTTAGTGACCAAAGACCAGTAATCTAACTATTGATGCGTTCCAGGCTTGCTACCTAGAAGGAGAAGTCCAAGCTTGGTATGGAAAATATATTCTGCAAACAACCAGAAAACGAGCGAGCCCACGAACACAATTTAAAACGTATATATACAAATATATATAATCGATATTGTCATGGGAATTTTTTGAACATTAATCAATGAGTTCATCGATTGACTGCTATTTAATCATTTAATCGATAAGTTTATCGATATGATAAAATTACAAATATGAGTTTTGGGGATATATCGTCCCCAACATCGAGTAGTATTATTGGCTCTACCCCTCAACACATAACCCGATACTTGGCTACTAAACTAATATTATCTCCTTTCTCGTTCTCTTTTTGGAACCTAGATCATTTACAGAAAAAGTATTTAACAGGATATCAGAAGAGTTATTTTGTCACAACATTTTACCAAAAATGTTCGAAAACACTATCTTTCTTGATTATCCGGCTCAAACCCTACTTGCGCAGATTTTCCACGCTTTCGAAGGTGTGTTTGCATTTTGATTATTAGTTTTGTACCCTCATTTTTAATAGGGGAACTACTTTCCTCGTGTGGTGTTTTGTTCCATATACTTCGTAATTAGTTTCGTTGCAATTCCTTTGAACACTAATGTACTGCAACTCAAATACTGACCCATGGTACATATAATCCTACAATAAGTGACTACGACTCATGTTCCCACTCTTCACAATACCAAAGCGAGCGTCAATACGGAAAACACCAAAATTCCTTAGGACAAATCCCTTTTCTCTAGACCTGCACGCTAACGGACACAACTAATGGTATTTACTAGTCTAAAAACAGCAATTAATTGCTTTGACCTTCAGCGTTCAACACAAAATACCTAACAAATATATCACCGTCTTAAGAGCTGTTTATTGGGGGACTTATGTTATTTCATTATTTAATGAACTTTCATCCGGACTGGCTATCCTGAGTAGTGTTTGGAATTATCCATCATTTCCACTCAGCTTGGTCATGGATGTTTTAAATGGTTACACTTTTGTCTTTCCAAAAGCATGTTTCCTGATTGGAGATCCTCTTTAATATTTATTCCCCATAATAATGTTCATTCGTTAGTCTTCAAAATAGTACAAATCGCTCCGAATGTATATCCCAGATCGTATAGTGTGTAGATGTGCCCAGTGTTTTGTGCTCAGTGCGTTGATTTGTGCATATGTGTTTGAGTCATTGTCGTAACATCTCCAAACACTAATCTTCCCGATTACTGCTTATACTCTTATTACCTCTACCACTACGGGATTTGAATCGACCACTGTATCTCTGTGCTAATGTGGTGTGGCAACTCGAACTGATGTACGTACGTACGAAGTTCTACGTTGTTACTGACTGACTGACATTGTCGTTTGTGGACAGTCAGTCAGTCATCTACAACGTAGGACGATGCACATATATGCGTCGGTCCAAGTTGCCATACCTTATTAGCACAACAAGGTGAACACCGAATTCATAGAATTAGTTACTTCACGGATAGTAATATATGAAAAACGGTCGCATATAAGATTATGATACAGGGAGAAAGAATTGGTTCGTAGAAAGGAAGGAATAAAGTAACTTTAATCTCACCGTTTAAGGACAGACAAAGAGTACATACACCTACACCATTGTGATCGATTCTGAGCCATGTCACCCAGAGTTTCCAACCACTAGTTACTGTAGTCACTCGGAACACAATCAAATGGTCTGCATCTACCAACGTGGCAAGACTAGAAGTTAGTGACTTCAAGCACCGATAACACGTTTTGGTTTGGCTGCCACTAACTTTCTTCCAACCATATCCAACACTAGTCAGCATTTCGCGTTGTAGTAATCGGTATTCAGGCATACGTAACACGTGGCCCAACCATCTCAGTCAATGAAGATTCACAACCTCATCAACTGACTTACCATCATTCCCTAATACCCTACGTCTAACCTCACTATTACTTACTCGGTGATCCCAGCAGACTCCAGCAATATTTCTAAGGCATCTGTGGTCAAATACTAGTAACTTACGAGTATCTTATTCATTAAGAAGTATAATTTAGAAGGCTTGAAAACCAGATTTCTCCTTTAGTTGGTAATGTGATACTCTGTTAGTCGAGCATATGCTACTGTGTTTATCTAGTGAAATGCTGCAGCGACGAATTCTTTTAACCAAATTGATCATTCCTGTAAACTGGCGTGAATTCTGTAATTATTATTTTCAGAATATATAAAATTATATTTAGTTATTGAGTTCTTATTTTGTTTTTGTCGATGGTGATTACATAAACGGATAAATATACTCTTTTGTTATCAAGTAACTTGATTTGTTTTTGGTCTGATTTTCAATCTAGAAAACCTTCAAGAGTCACCCAAATCCAAATTGATCATATCTCTTCGAAATTTTCAGAAGTTTGTCAATCCTTTAATTGTTCAGAAATTTATGGTTAACGAGAGACACACGCGTATTTTGTTACTTCAGCACTTCACTGGCTATTTAAAAATATTAACTGATAGTGATTTGTTAAATGTGATATTACCACAAGTAGGTATATTTGCATTTCGTGTTTAATTTTCAACATAATATTTCTAACACAGTTATGCATAGTCTTCTTTAACCTTGTACCATATCCTTTGGATTTTGTTGCACCGTTTTACGATAACTCAGTCACTGAGTTATAGATAATTCAATAATATTAGTCAGTAACCAGAAAGTGATGTGGCTTTTATTGTCAGTTTGATTTGTGATCACCTTAAATAAGATAATATGGTGCAGCATATTGAATAGTAGATGATTCGTTAAGTGGGCTGTTAGTCGTAACACTTAGAATTTAGTAAGATCACCTGTATATTTAATGCTGACTTTTACAAATTTAAACATTATTGGTTGACCACATTCTTGTTCATTAACAATAAACAAGCGTATTAATACTGCACTTAGTATGGATTACGTACAAAATGAATACTAAATCGTGTTACATATTACTCAAGATCATAGTAATTGTGCAAGTCACGAGCACGTATATATAGTGATAATTCGATGTACACTATATTTTATTCTCAGTACATTAATTTACACATATATGCGTTCGAGTCACTATCGTTCGTGGACAATGTTGTATCGATTCACAATATGCTATATGGAGTGCTGGGATATAGCTCCCGAGCGTGACATGCGTATCGGGTTTAAGTTCCAGCTATAGGTGTTGTTTGTTGTTGAATGATTGATGTTCGGAATGCTGGAGTGTGGATTAGTGATTGTGTTGTGTGTGGTGTTTGACGTGAATGTATTGTTGATTGTGTGTTTCTGATTTGTTGGCGTGTGATTGATTCGTGATGGTTGGATGTGCTCTTGGTTTTGTGTTTAATGCATTGATTTGTGCATATGTGTTCGATTCATTGTTGTTCGTGGACAATGTTGTATCGATTCACAATATGCTATATGGAGTGCTGGGATATAGCTCCCGAGCGTGACATGCGTATCGGGTTTAAGTTCCAGCTATAGGTGTTGTTTGTTGTTGAATGATTGATGTTCGGAATGCTGAGTGTGGATTAGTGATTGTGTTGTGTGTGGTGTTTGACGTGAATGTATTGTTGATTGTGTGTTTCTGATTTGTTGGCGTGTGATTGATTCGTGATGGTTGGATGTGCTCTTGGTTTTGTGTTTAATGCATTGATTTGTGCATATGTGTTCGATTCATTGTTGTTCGTGGACAATGTTGTATCGATTCACAATATGCTATATGGAGTGCTGGGATATAGCTCCCGAGCGTGACATGCGTATCGGGTTTAAGTTCCAGCTATAGGTGTTGTTTGTTGTTGAATGATTGATGTTCGGAATGCTGGAGTGTGGATTAGTGATTGTGTTGTGTGTGGTGTTTGACGTGAATGTATTGTTGATTGTGTGTTTCTGATTTGTTGGCGTGTGATTGATTCGTGATGGTTGGGTGTGCTCTTGGTTTTGTGTTTAATGCATTGATTTGTGCATATGTGTTCGATTCATTGTTGTTCGTGTACAATGTTGTATCGATTCACGATATGCTATATGGAGTGCTGGGATATAGCTCCCGAGCGTGACATGCGTATCGGGTTTAAGTTCCAGCTATAGGTGTTGTTTGTTGTTGAATGATTGATGTTCGGAATGCTGGAGTGTGGATTGGTGATTGTGTTGTGTGTGGTGTTTGACGTGAATGTATTGTTGATTGTGTGTTTCTGATTTGTTGGCGTGTGATTGATTCGTGATGGTTGGGTGTGCTCTTGGTTTTGTGTTTAATGCATTGATTTGTGCATATGTGTTCGATTCATTGTTGTTCGTGTACAATGTTGTATCGATTCACGATATGCTATATGGAGTGCTGGGATATAGCTCCCGAGCGTGACATGCGTATCGGGTTTAAGTTCCAGCTATAGGTGTTGTTTGTTGTTGAATGATTGATGTTCGGAATGCTGGAGTGTGGATTGGTGATTGTGTTGTGTGTGGTGTTTGACGTGAATGTATTGTTGATTGTGTGTTTCTGATTTGTTGGCGTGTGATTGATTCGTGATGGTTGGGTGTGCTCTTGGTTTTGTGTTTAATGCATTGATTTGTGCATATGTGTTCGATTCATTGTTGTTCGTGTACAATGTTGTATCGATTCACAATATGCTATATGGAGTGCTGGGATATAGCTCCCGAGCGTGACATGCGTATCGGGTTTAAGTTCCAGCTATAGGTGTTGTTTGTTGTTGAATGATTGATGTTCGGAATGCTGGAGTGTGGATTGGTGATTGTGTTGTGTGTGGTGTTTGACGTGAATGTATTGTTGATTGTGTGTTTCTGATTTGTTGGCGTGTGATTGATTCGTGATGGTTGGGTGTGCTCTTGGTTTTGTGTTTAATGCATTGATTTGTGCATATGTGTTCGATTCATTGTTGTTCGTGTACAATGTTGTATCGATTCACAATATGCTATATGGAGTGCTGGGATATAGCTCCCGAGCGTGACATGCGTATCGGGTTTAAGTTCCAGCTATAGGTGTTGTTTGTTGTTGAATGATTGATGTTCGGAATGCTAGAGTGTGGATTGGTGATTGTGTTGTGTGTGGTGTTTGACGTGAATGTATTGTTGATTGTGTGTTTCTGATTTGTTGGCGTGTGATTGATTCGTGATGGTTGGGTGTGCTCTTGGTTTTGTGTTTAATGCATTGATTTGTGCATATGTGTTCGATTCATTGTTGTTCGTGTACAATGTTGTATCGATTCACGATATGCTATATGGAGTGCTGGGATATAGCTCCCGAGCGTGACATGCGTATCGGGTTTAAGTTCCAGCTATAGGTGTTGTTTGTTGTTGAATGATTGATGTTCGGAATGCTGGAGTGTGGATTGGTGATTGTGTTGTGTGTGGTGTTTGACGTGAATGTATTGTTGATTGTGTGTTTCTGATTTGTTGGCGTGTGATTGATTCGTGATGGTTGGGTGTGCTCTTGGTTTTGTGTTTAATGCATTGATTTGTGCATATGTGTTCGATTCATTGTTGTTCGTGTACAATGTTGTATCGATTCACGATATGCTATATGGAGTGCTGGGATATAGCTCCCGAGCGTGACATGCGTATCGGGTTTAAGTTCCAGCTATAGGTGTTGTTTGTTGTTGAATGATTGATGTTCGGAATGCTGGAGTGTGGATTGGTGATTGTGTTGTGTGTGGTGTTTGACGTGAATGTATTGTTGATTGTGTGTTTCTGATTTGTTGGCGTGTGATTGATTCGTGATGGTTGGGTGTGCTCTTGGTTTTGTGTTTAATGCATTGATTTGTGCATATGTGTTCGATTCATTGTTGTTCGTGTACAATGTTGTATCGATTCACAATATGCTATATGGAGTGCTGGGATATAGCTCCCGAGCGTGACATGCGTATCGGGTTTAAGTTCCAGCTATAGGTGTTGTTTGTTGTTGAATGATTGATGTTCGGAATGCTAGAGTGTGGATTGGTGATTGTGTTGTGTGTGGTGTTTGACGTGAATGTATTGTTGATTGTGTGTTTCTGATTTGTTGGCGTGTGATTGATTCGTGATGGTTGGGTGTGCTCTTGGTTTTGTGTTTAATGCATTGATTTGTGCATATGTGTTCGATTCATTGTTGTTCGTGTACAATGTTGTATCGATTCACGATATGCTATATGGAGTGCTGGGATATAGCTCCCGAGCGTGACATGCGTATCGGGTTTAAGTTCCAGCTATAGGTGTTGTTTGTTGTTGAATGATTGATGTTCGGAATGCTGGAGTGTGGATTGGTGATTGTGTTGTGTGTGGTGTTTGACGTGAATGTATTGTTGATTGTGTGTTTCTGATTTGTTGGCGTGTGATTGATTCGTGATGGTTGGGTGTGCTCTTGGTTTTGTGTTTAATGCATTGATTTGTGCATATGTGTTCGATTCATTGTTGTTCGTGTACAATGTTGTATCGATTCACAATATGCTATATGGAGTGCTGGGATATAGCTCCCGAGCGTGACATGCGTATCGGGTTTAAGTTCCAGCTATAGGTGTTGTTTGTTGTTGAATGATTGATGTTCGGAATGCTGGAGTGTGGATTGGTGATTGTGTTGTGTGTGGTGTTTGACGTGAATGTATTGTTGATTGTGTGTTTCTGATTTGTTGGCGTGTGATTGATTCGTGATGGTTGGGTGTGCTCTTGGTTTTGTGTTTAATGCATTGATTTGTGCATATGTGTTCGATTCATTGTTGTTCGTGTACAATGTTGTATCGATTCACAATATGCTATATGGAGTGCTGGGATATAGCTCCCGAGCGTGACATGCGTATCGGGTTTAAGTTCCAGCTATAGGTGTTGTTTGTTGTTGAATGATTGATGTTCGGAATGCTAGAGTGTGGATTGGTGATTGTGTTGTGTGTGGTGTTTGACGTGAATGTATTGTTGATTGTGTGTTTCTGATTTGTTGGCGTGTGATTGATTCGTGATGGTTGGGTGTGCTCTTGGTTTTGTGTTTAATGCATTGATTTGTGCATATGTGTTCGATTCATTGTTGTTCGTGTACAATGTTGTATCGATTCACGATATGCTATATGGAGTGCTGGGATATAGCTCCCGAGCGTGACATGCGTATCGGGTTTAAGTTCCAGCTATAGGTGTTGTTTGTTGTTGAATGATTGATGTTCGGAATGCTGGAGTGTGGATTAGTGATTGTGTTGTGTGTGGTGTTTGACGTGAATGTATTGTTGATTGTGTGTTTCTGATTTGTTGGCGTGTGATTGATTCGTGATGGTTGGATGTGCTCTTGGTTTTGTGTTTAATGCATTGATTTGTGCATATGTGTTCGATTCATTGTTGTTCGTGGACAATGTTGTATCGATTCACAATATGCTATATGGAGTGCTGGGATATAGCTCCCGAGCGTGACATGCGTATCGGGTTTAAGTTCCAGCTATAGGTGTTGTTTGTTGTTGAATGATTGATGTTCGGAATGCTGGAGTGTGGATTAGTGATTGTGTTGTGTGTGGTGTTTGACGTGAATGTATTGTTGATTGTGTGTTTCTGATTTGTTGGCGTGTGATTGATTCGTGATGGTTGGATGTGCTCTTGGTTTTGTGTTTAATGCATTGATTTGTGCATATGTGTTCGATTCATTGTTGTTCGTGGACAATGTTGTATCGATTCACAATATGCTATATGGAGTGCTGGGATATAGCTCCCGAGCGTGACATGCGTATCGGGTTTAAGTTCCAGCCATAGGTATTGTTTATTTTATGAGAGTTGGATTGTTTATTTTTTGGACACATTTGGTGTGTTTATCTTCACGTTTTACGTAGGTGAGTTTTTTTTCTGTTCTTGGTTCTTTGTAAGTTTAAGAATTTCTATATAGAAATATTGACGTCCAATTTTGCTGCGTATTTTTTTCTTTCGTCAATGTCGGTAATATGCATTGTCTTTAGGGTTCATTTCTAATGATGTTCAATTCTATAAAAATTTCTTTATTATCTGTAGATATGTCGTGGAGTTTTCGATAGTCATAATGCACTATCAGTTTTAAGTTTACAAGCGTTAGGATGTCTTGCTAGTCGTTTGAATGCTACTGTTGTTTTAAATCATTTACGTCGGATCGAAGAAAGCCTATGTAAATCTGGCAGTTTATCTAATAATTTTAATCATAGTACGAGCACTGACGGAAATAATAGATTTGTTACTTATGTATGGCCTCGTAATAATCTATTTTATGAAGCTGCACCAAAAATTAATCGAACTAATCGGGAAATTCCTTTATGTGAGAAGAAACAAACCCATGTGTTAAATGAATCCAGTCGACCGTTAGCTCAATTGGCCGTTTTTTCTCCAAATTATGATCCATCTATGAATTCCTGTTTTTTAAGCTGTACGGATGAGTAAGTTGACTTCTTAGATATGCATAATTTTATTTTTCATCTAGATTACTGTACGACAGTAATTTGACTTCATTTATTTATTTGAACACAAATGTTATACAAATGAACACCAAAATTAATATACCCCAAGCAAACTAGCGAGTAGAATTTTGAAGTTATAGATACAGAAGAGTAAATGTAGTTGGAAAATAATCAGATTAGTAAAAATAAGTGGACGAGAGTCGTGTGTAATGAAATAAGTAATTCAGTTGAGAAAAGTACAACTAGTAAGAATCTTTTAGTTTAAGAAGTTCCTTTCTCTTTTAAAAGTAAGTAAAAGAAATCACAATAGAATCGTCAATGGTTTCCGTTTTGAGTCATGTTTGATAACGTCTCAAGGTACTGAGTTGGACTATCTCTCGAACCTCAATTAGGGAGTTGTGATAGACCGATAGTTGACAATTCTATGCAGCCTTCTTTCATATCTCGGCGCCTCGTTATAAACTGATTACATCTTTATTTTTCCGAGTCAGTCCCATCGTGAACTAATAAAGCGACATCAAATAAGTTATCATTGACATCCCTAAACACACATTGCTGAACCTCCTCATTACTAACATCGTTTTGCCACTGAATATCAGCAATCCTTCAAAGACAGCTATAGTCGAACACAGAGAGTCGTATAACATCCTTAGTTCAATAAGTTCAGGTTTCGCTTTTTACAGCCAAACTAACATCACGACACCAAAGATAATCGAGATGAACACTAGCATATTTATTACTACTTGAACGTATCACATTTTCAGTCAGCCAGTCATCTACAACGTAGGACGATGCGCATATATGCGTCGGTCCAAGTTGCCACACCTTATTAGCACAACAATGTGAACACCAAATTCATAGAATTAGTTACTTCACGGATAGTAATATATGAAAAAAGGTCGCATATAAGATTATGATACAGGAAGAAAGAATTGGTTCGTAGAAAGGAAGGAATAAAGTAACTTTAATCTCACCTTTTAAGGGCAGACTAAATTTTGTAAATGCCTGTAAATAAATTTGAGTAAGTCTTATTGTAAGTGACACCTTTCAATTCGTGAAACTAGGATATTGCTATAAATTTAACATCCTGACAACGTATGGCTAAGGGACACTCTAAAGAAGCTATTTGTACAAACCAGGTATATACTAACCATTTGGCTTGTTCGGTCTGATCAGGAGCTTGGTATATCTACTTCTTGTTGATATAATTCCAAAATGGTCGGGAGTAATTTCAATGATTGATAAAATAATTTTGTATTTCAGTAACTTGTAGTTCGCGTATAATTGTTTGGAAGTGATTCAGTAGACTGTCTTCAATTGAGCATAAAGAGTTTAAACATACGAATTATAATTGTGATATTCCTCTTTAATTTTCTTTTATGAAATCGGAATATCTACCTGCTTAACACGTTTAGTAGCACCAGGTCAAAAGTTGTATGACTCGCACTGGTTTGAATTTCATTTCTTTAGTGGCTCCACAATGAATGGGAACTACTACTCCCACTGTATCTTATTTCTATCGCCTTTGCCTTGAAGTTCCGTATGACGGATGAAAGCGCAATGCTATACTGCTTGCAGTAAATTGATGTTAATGTAACCTATGCACATAGGTCTATGTACTGCTTGCTTGGTTGGACTAATAATTAAAAATTTTTAATCGTCCTCTCTCTCTCACACACACACACCTTTTTTAGACATAATAAATTCGATGTTGATGTAGTAGGAGCATCTTCAAATTTTTCAAATTTTGACGCTAGATTTTTAAATCGGTCTTTATAAAACGCATACACAAAGCATAATCAATTTGATTTCGTATGATTAACCACAAACACAAAAAATACGTAGTTTACTTTTGGATTGTTAAAAAATCTAGATATTTAATGATATTTATCTTTTCAACTTTCTTTCTAGCCTTTCCACTGATTCTCGTCCATGGAATAGTGAGTTTATTTGATTTTTATCAATAAATTCGTAAAAATATCTTATGTCAGCTAAGTTGATAGGATATTTCTAATGTTTCAATATTTTCACAGTTGAAATCACGAGTCGATCTTAGATAGACCACTATTGAAAATCTGGAGAAACTAGATGACCGTCTCGTTCTAGTACGGGGCTCCTCAATAATACTCACCTACGACCACACATGGGATTCGAACTCAGGACCTTCGGTCTCGCACGCGAACCTATAATGTCTAGACCACTGAGTCACCACCCATCGGTATTAATGCCCAACTGTAATCAATCTATTATCTTGCGTAACCCTCCATCCATTGCCTATGGTAGATAACGGTCACACTCGACACGAATTAGACTCCACTGGTCACGACTTTTCATATTTTTAGATTTACAATGTTTAATCATACAGCATTTTCATTGTAAAGTCTCAAATGAATTAATGTCTTCTAGCTTTATTTAGCTTTTCAGATTTCGTAGTCATAGATGTCTGCGTAGATTTTCAATGTATTTCATGATTACATGATGAAAATAACTAGAATAGTCCACCGAAATCATTGTGCTTCCCTTTTAACCAACTGATAGTGTCAAAACAGTTAACCTTTTTTTGTTGTTGAATATAGCCTATAGTTTTATCATAAACTTATTTCACAAAATTGAATCTTTTTTCCCCAACCTTAGTTTTTCGTTTATCTTTGACCTCCATAACTTGTTTAGTAATATTTGTATGAATATGCATCAATATTTGAATAAATAGTTTAACGGAAATTAAGCATTCAATATATGAAAGAGATTGTGTGTAAAAATTGTTTGAAATAATCTCGGCGAATTAAATTTAGTTTATTCCAACGTTTTGTTGAATAATCTTATGTGGACTTGCCATGTTTGAGGAGATTACGAGTTCATCTAAATCTGCGAACGGAACGAAGACTCGGCAACACAATAACCAAATAAGCTAACTATTCCGATGCGTCCCAGCCCCGCTAACTAGAAAGAGAAGTTCGGGTTCAGAAGAGAGAAATGTATTCACAAGCAGCCAGAAGCACGAAAATCAACAAGCACAACTGAAGCATATATATACTACATAAAAATATATTTGAGAATCGTAACAAAATAGCATATTAAAAGAGACAACAAACCAATGACATTTAAGGTCCTCTCAATGGGAAATACGACATGAAGGTGAAAATGGGCGATTTCGGCGCGAAGACAAGTTCAAATTTCCAAAATAAAACCACAAAAATAAGATATTTACTGAGTTCTGAGGATCTAGCATCCCAAACAGGATTTTTTCGAGGTAATAATGACAATTAAAAGAAAATGCAATAAACATAAATTAAATCTACGCTAAGGACTTGTTTAATCATGTACAGATGTTGATTGTATAAAGTATGAAAATATGAGTCAGTAATAATAGTAATAGTAGCCTAATTTTGTTTGATGATAATTACACTTAATGGATAAACAATCTAGAGTTCTGTTTACATATTTTTCTCTTTTTTAAAGTAATATTTTGACAGTGAATTGTATGCATTTTTACTACAGGTGATGTACTTAAACTGTCAAGTACTATAACGGGAGCCAGTACCATTACTTATACTCTGACTACTGCTACTACTACTACTGCCATTAATAATAATTGTCGTCAATTGGATGAAGTCGAAAAATTTCAGTGCAATACTGAAAATACATTTGATGAAAATACTAAATTTTCTAGTTTAGTTGATAAACCCGTGGTACATTATTCATCATCATCGTCAAGGGAATTGGTTGTTAACGGAAAATCATTAGTATATTCTGAAAGCAATTCTAATTGTTTGAATAACCCTGTAGAAGTAAGTGTCCGTGTTTTTTTATTGGATTTTTGAGTGCAAGCTTCCATAACAGGGTGAATATTCGGACAGTTGGGATTTTCGGAGCTATGCTGATGTATGATGTACTGACTTGAGCCGATGTACCTTCTTGTCAGGTTGTGCACTGATGATGACTAACTGACTAAACTAATAAACATGAAGTATTTGAGTTTCAATACTCATCGGTATATATATTCAATTCATTTCTAAAGTCACATCTAAAAAGTGGGAATGTAGGATATCATATTATCGAATCTATATTGAAAACAGAATAGTCACATATCTTGTGTTTTCATTGATATCAGCTGACTATTATTATTATCACTAATATTGTTATGTGTTAGTATAGGTAAGACTCGCTTAACAAACTTCTTTAATAAGGCCACTTTATTAGTACATAAAGATTGTCAAACATTTGTTCGAATATTCTCTATTTAGTAGTTAAAGATAACAGACTTAATATCAGTTGATCTCTAATGTATACAAATAAATATACTAAATCGTTCTTTTGTATTGTTTAGTTTTAATCAAATTCATTAGTAAGAAAAAATGTTTAATAAATTTAGATACGATATATATCAAGTATTTTTAAGGCTTATTTACTATATAACTGTAAAAACTCCATTAGAGTACATCGTCGATATATCCATATTTATGATAACTAAGTTTCCATTTTATCTTTATTATTAAAATTATTCAAATGTATATAATCGAAAATCCTAGCAAATCATATAATTCAACTGTTGTTACTTTGTCGAATTGATTGACAGAATTCGCCTAATACTGAAGATTGAACGCTATAATATTGCTTAATTCTTAACTTTTGAGAATAGTGATCCTGTTTTAACAGCTAAGCTGATTAAGTTACTAACCGAATATTAGCATTTGTTAAACTGCCATCAGAATCGTCAACATCGAATGATGTTCACTGTCCTCCTTTTTATCTAAGTTTGTCATATATGTCCTCTTAGAAATTACGATTAATCTAACTAACCAGGAGTAGGCCTGCTACTAAGCGATTCACTTATTGATTTAGAATATGCCGATGACAGTCCTATTCGGTGTAGAAACCATCAAAATGTAGAGTCTTTTGATCACATTAAGCATGTATGCAAACATGTTCAAGATGCATTTCTCTCTGTAAATGCAAAATGTTTCCAAAGAACTGATCTGCACTGTCGCCTAAAGGAAGTAAAGTAGTTGAGTGCGTTCAATTGTGTTTGGGGAGAGATGTTTATCTGTCAGTTAAAGGGTTATTATACTGCACAACTATATGTCTAACCACCATCTGCATTGATGTATGGTGTTTATTGGTTTAGAATTAGGTTGACAGGAAGTTTATCAGGCAGGCGTTCGAACCAAAATGCTGTCAGTCCATGAAATTACTATTGGTCTGAGCCTTGTTGGTAGATCCAGACTACTCGATTGTCGTCTGGGTGATAACCGTGGTTAGTGGTTCGAAAATCTAGGTGACATGATTTACAATCGTTCACAATGAGGCAGATGAACCTACTCTTTATCTGCCTCTCGATCTTAAATTCCAGTACTCCTTCATACATACTTTTTCACTCTGTCTTGTGGAATCACATTCTCAATGCTCAGTCTTTCCCGCGATCATCAGTACCACATTATTTCAGTTTCTTTTGCTATTCATCTTCTTAGTTTTTATCTCTTTTTGTTAGTGTGGTTCATTTAATCTCCCTGTGCTAATGGGGTATGACAACTTAAACCGATGTACGTACGTATCAGGTCCTACTTTGCGATTGACTAACTAATTGCATGTAATATGCCAACTCAACCCTGCATACATTTTTGTCAGACTCTACATTGCTCACTAAATGACTGGTTATTTGATTCGTTTACTTGATATATTCTCATGTGTTATGAAATTGCAATCTGTTTGTAGCTTAGCGCAGCCTGTTACAATTTTCTCAGTCATATAATTTACCATAAAACTGTGAATACAATTTTATTATAATGATTCTCTAATACATAAATAAAATTCCCGTATTTGTATATTTAGCTTTAGATATTTGGTATACAATATATATATATATATATATATATATATATATATATGGTTATGAATTTAAAAATCAAGTAGTATTCTCAATCATTTCTTTTGTTATAGATTTCTAATGATGAACGTGAAATTGATACACTCCTTACATTGATGGAACCTAAAATTGTACAGCAACCTATTCCATTTTCTCCTCTCAGGTACACAGTTATTCCTGATGAAATGGAAATAAACCGATTGAGCGGACTATCATTAGAACAGTCAGCTGATGCGGTAATTTTTGAATTGTCCATTTTTCTGAATAATTATATAATTTTTATTTTTACAGGATGTTTATAGAGTTTTGCGTCAGATAAGTTATTTCTTTGTGACATTGGCCAATTACTAGTGTTTGACCATATGCGTCTTATAAGCACGTATATTGGGACAACTAAGTAAATAGCAATTAAGTTAAACTGAATATACTCTGTGAGAATGATAAATCAGTTGATAAGATTTTGAACCTTTAATGACTGGTAGCTAGGGCTTTCTTTAGAACATGCCTGACTACCATCTATCTCGAAGCGCAATATTGGCTGACATATAAGTAGATTGGAAAACATTAGGGGTAACTAAATCAAGACGTTAGAGCAGTTCATGTAGTCAATGACTGTTTGTCTGAGCTATGTCGGCGGATCTAGATTATCTGATTACAGTCTGAACGATGACTATAAACAGTGGTTGAGGACAAGTGAAATGGCTGAAAATGAGTCCCAACTGTTCAAGTGCATCTGCTTTTTTAACTGTCATCAGATCCAAGTTATTTTATACCTCTTATCCTGCGAACTGTCTCTTCTCAAACCATATCCTCTATACCTAATCTTTTTTATTACTGCTGGTACTACTTTTTTATACCGCTGTATTCTTCATCTTGATTACTTTATCTCGCTATACTCTTATGGTGTGTCAACTTGGAACTGATAAATGCGTCAAGTTCTGTGTTGATCTTGACTGACGATATCATTGTAATATTCCAACATTCCAATTGTTCCAACTTTGTATTGCAATTTTCAAAAGATATCCACAATAAGAAGGAATGTGTATAATTATTAAATTGACAAATAAATACGTTATGATAGCGATCGAAAGGAAAAAAACTGTTTGTCACAAAGTTACGCACCGAACCCGAAAACAAAATAAATTACGGGTCATTTCATTTAGTTACATCTTCAAATACATGTTTAAAAAAGCAAAGGATTTTAGAGCGAACTATTGCTTTCAATAACTTCCTCATCAGGGTCTACATTCAGCCACCCATAATTATTGTGTCAAGATTATGCATTAGTGAATTCGAAAATAACATGTGCTAAAAAGCAGTTAAGTTTTGCAGCTGTTATGATGTAAATACATCAAAAAAGTTTGAAAGGTCATTTACGATAGGTTCATGTGTAGTTTGATCAACTAAGGTTTTCAAAATGGTACAATCTATCAACTCATTGTTTTCAAAGATACAACTTAAAATTATTCGAATGTTTTCAGTCGTATTTACTGTTTTGTTTTGTAAACCATTTCTTTAATGACTACTTCGTCACCATGTGATTGTTCCTTAAGATAGTAATTCTCTTTTCTATTATTGTTACCAGTTGTAACTAGTTCATTTACCCATTAATTGTAAGAACCATTTGGTTTCATAAAATTAACAGAACTAATAATTACAGGTAAATAACCATTATACTTTCACTATTAAGTGGTTACTTACATATTCTAATCTATGTTATAGATAGCCTTTAGTGATCAACAAACTTCTTGTCATTAAACGAGATAACAAATCTATTCCATACAGAATATTTTGATTTAATTCAACAAATAGTATATCTACATTTCACCTGAAATGTACCTCTTATATCTCGTATAAACCTTTCTTTTAATTTCTGAGGTTTGTTGTAATAGGATAGGTAATTTGACATAGGAATACATTGTTTTGTAACTATTGAATAGTTGAAAATAAATAATCATATTTTTATTCGCATATCTGTTACTTAATAACATGATTTTCTGTAAAAAGAAAATCATTATCCTTTTATGATTGTTTTCTACTATCTTCGTTTCTTAATACTAATGATTATCTAGGCCTTTCATCATCTATTTTATTTTTAAGTAATTAATAAGAAACTTTTCACAGTTGAATTCATTAGTCGATCTAATCTAGACCATTATTTAAAACCTGGGAATGCCGGATGACCTTTTTGTCCCCAGTATGGGTCTCCGCATTAGTGCGCACCCATGATCCTGCAAAAAACAGCCTAATTTTTCCCTTTTAACTAAGAATTCAAAATATTTTTTTTGTTTTCATATAAACCTGTGAGTGTTTTTTGATTTGTTTGGATTTTCATCTCTCTAATAAACTATTATTTTAGGATACTGAAACCAATGGATGGGAAGATGCATGGAATACAGATCCATGAACAGATCAAGCATTCTGTGACGATTGTGAAATTGTTTATTACATTTTCTTTTCATTGTTCATTTCTCTCCTTTGTTTTTACTATTAAAGGTATGGTTTATTTTGTGAGTGGTATGTTTGTTTTCTTTCTTTTATATTCTTTCTCATTTGGTTTTATTACTATTTCTGTAATATTTTTGTTAAGATAATAAACTAGATTTTGAATCATCTGAGAATATTTACATGTTTGTATTTATTTTAATTTTTGAGCCATTGTAATTTTATTTGTCAGGTAATCACTAGTTTTTTTCTTCTTGTACAAAAGGTTAATGAAAATTACTATTCTCTTAGTTCATGTCGTTTGTCTTTTTTCTTTCACTATTCATACACATTGTTAGTTTAATATAGAGATGATTAGATTGGTTTAATTTATCATTAGATTTGTTTTAATTTTGACGAATAGATTGGCATTGATGTCCAAATTTGTATTGAAATCGATTTTTATTATTCAATATTATTCTGGTAGTAGTATAAACGATAATTAATATGAATTAAGATTTTATGAATGGATTATTCATTTTGATAGATCAACTCTCTCTTCCCATGATTCTATCAAAATTTACAAAAGGGACTAATTGTTTCAGAATTTTTGATTATCAAGATGATAGAAAACAGTGCTAATCGCTAGATAAACACGAAGTAAGTACTAAGTAACCAATTGATGGGTGCTCACGAGACTGTTAACGTCGTGAACTCCTAAGTGGTTTAAAAATCAGAAGAAACTAACATGACCATGTACAAAGTATTGACTCAGTAACATGATTAGATGTCATAAATAACATGAATTGTATAGTTTTCCCACTCTCTAGTAAATGAAGTCCGAACTGTTTGGTCTAATTCTAATCCATCTTAGTGCTACGTATACGGACAGATATAAGTAATAATTATCAGGGATTGGGAGTAGAATTCTTACAGAGGAGGAAAATGAGGAGAAGAGAAAGAAACACAAAAGGAGTTGGATTAGCAACATGAATAGAAGAACGATGCAGCTTTTAATAGACAATTCAAGGAAGATGTGCAAACAGTGTACTCAGTACATTGTTTTCATATTTTACAAACGCAGTGTATGATTTTGCACAGTACGGTAATTTGGTTTACCCTACACAAATCCTCGTTCATTAAAGTATCGCCTCCACGAAATGATGTGGATTCGTTTTGTTGAAATAAAGGAAAAATGGTGATATTTCCTGACTTGCTTCATTTATTCAATTTTATTGAAAACCACGTTTTTTGTTACTTTCATCTGTTCCGACTGTATTATTGACATAAAACGTAAGATACTTTACTATCGTTGCCTGATTAACAAGGTTGAATACATTTCAAGACATATAAGCTGTTAATTAACATAAAAATAATTAGGTTAGTTTGGATTTAGTTTTACATTTAAATAGATTTGCTTTAATATTAGCTGATAGATTAAATTAGAGTTTATTTTTATTGAAGTCGACCTTTGATAGTATTGTGTAGGAGTTAAAATAACATTTAAGCGGATAATTTTTTCGCCGAATAGTATTTACGTAACAATCGGACATTGATCAATGTTCTTATCGTAGTTACCTAAACTTTAATATCAGCATTTTTGTGTTATCTGTAATCTGGTTGGCTTTTTTCTGAGACTTATTTGGGTTTGACATTCCTAGAATATCGTATAAAGTCAGACTTATCTATATAATATATCAAATAACCTTTAATGGGATATGAAGATATCACCCTGAAGTTTAGGGTTCATGCACCTTAATTTCTTTCGTATTGATTTCTTTGTGCAGATTTTTTTTTAGTGTAAGGTGATTGTCAATAGTTGACAGGAAACCCTGGACCTAGGGATTAGATAAAACCTACAAGTTATCTCGTTAACCAAAGTATCTGGCTAGGATTATTTTGCTATTTTTTTATTTGTAAACATTCTACATCGTCTTGTAAAGTTAGCAAGACAAATGGTATTATTAGTATTACTTTTTGTTAGTATAGCTCTTCTCATTTGCTGTGGTTGAATTATCTACTGGTTTCTGATGAAATAGATAACGAATTAGAGTATTTTAAGCATAAATCGCGAGCAATCATATTCAACGAGCATGTTTCACTTTTTCCCTTACTAACATTAACGTGTTTCTGCCTATCACAAAATCAGAGCGTAACTTAGACTACTGCTTGGTTCAAAATGGAATTGCGTTTAGTAATAAGCTTTGAAACTTATTTGTGAAAGTATATTCAGGGCTCTATAAAGCACCTTGTTTGCCACACCTCTTATTCTTATGGTATGATCAAAATATACTTTTAGAAAATCTGTCTCATTTCTCTGCTGATTTGGCATCAAGATTTAAATCAGGATTTAAATGACTGAAGTAAATGTAATCAAATCTGCTTGTTCATAAAAATCTCGTGCTTGACAATATTTACTTATTTTGAAATAAGTAAACCAAAGTTGAAGTGTCTATTTACCATTGAAAACCTCATATCATAAGGGTTATCAGCTAGATTGTCAGTAAAATACGCGAAATTCATTCCAATAGAATTTGGGTTACTTATTTAAAAGTAGGAAGCTTAGATCACAAATAGACTAGATTCATCTCATTATGTCTGTCAAACATAGTTTATTATAAACATAGAACACTGTACCCAGCTGATATGACTCTGCAAACATGAATTAATTTTAGTCAGATTAGGTATACTTAAAAATTGAAATCTATTATCACTTTACAAAGTGAATTGTCAACGTAATTATTTATTTAATTCAATCTCTATAAATTACTTTATTCTTAGATTTGTCGATTATGAACTAAATTGTAATTTCACATATACATGAGTCAGTGATTAAAAATCCCTAAAATGGGGAACATTTTAACTAACCAAATTTACTACAATTTTCGTATCATTCGTTCTTGTTGAAAAATGTACGGTAGCGTATGACATAATTATTTGCACAAATTTTTTCGGAGTCCAAAAACATACAAAGTAATGATGAATTAATAAGAATAGTAATACTGTTAATTAACAACCAATCGACATTAAAACCAACTGACCTACAACAATACAAATTTAATTGAGACTACTTTTATTATGAATTCAAGATATTTGACACATTCCTTGTTACCATCTTGTGTTTTTTCAAACACACACTATGTGTATTCTTGAAGAAAATGAAGTACTAATCTCAAAGTCCATAGATGTTCAATCTATACATTTTATATTATGTATTTTTCAAAACTGTGATAGTCTGTTAAGAAGTATGGTTGACTTAAAATGTCAACAGTTAGGAATTTAAGTAAATAAAGTTACTGTACTCTGTTATTCATTTTTCCTACACTTATCTTTGGATTTGTTTGGAATTTGACAAAGTTTTTAAAAAAATCATTAACCTATCAACCAACGGAAATTAGATAATGTTCTATGGAGTTACTTTGTTTATGTCTATGTTTATTTAGCTACATTTTTTCAGATTTGTTAAACTGAATTTATCACTCACTAGTACTTTAATATTTGAACTACTTGCGTTCGAATCTAAGTAGTTCAAATTCCAAGTTGTTGAAAATCTAATGTTCATCTTTTATATAAAGAAATCCAGGTTTATTTATGTCCAGTAACGATTACTATTGATTAATACCTTTAAAATAGGTTATTACTTACTTACTTACGCCTCTGACCGGCATTCTCCAACCCGCTCTGTCCGGGGCCTTCCTTCATAGTTCCATCCAATTCTTGTTCATTTTTCTCATGTATATCTCCATTTCCCGGCGTAATGTTTTCCTTGATCTTCCGCTTCTTCTTTGATCTTGAGGATTCCATGTGAGGGCTTGCCTTGTGGCACAGTTGGGTGCTTTCCTCAATGTGTGTCCTATCCACTTCCACTGCTTCTTTCTGATTTCTTCCTCTACTGAGATCTGGCTTGTTTTCTCCCACAGTAGGTTGTTGCTGATAGTGACTGGCCAACGGATCCGAAGTATTTTGCGTAGACAACTGTTAATAAACACCTGTATCTTCTGGATGATGTCTTTAGTGGTTCTTCAAGTTTCCGCCCCAGTGGACAGTAGGACTGTCTTGACATTTGTATTGAAAATTTCGACTTTGATGTTGGCTTGCAGACGGTTGTTTTGAGTTTCGGATGTTCTCCAGTTGTAAATATGCTGCTCTTTCTTTTCCGATCCTCACCTTCACATCTGCATCAGGTCCAGCGTGTTCATGAATGATGCTGCCCAAATATGTAAAGGTTTTTACATCCTCCAAATCCTCCCCGTCAAGCGTGATTCGATTGAAAATAGGTTATTAGTCTAATCATTTGCAAGCACGGATTTAAATATCCATTAGTTTCCAAGTTAATACGTTCATCACTGAAGGTATTTTTGGATGCCGATTGATAACACATTTCAGTCTGCTGTAGTTTTTGTACGTTCTTTGTTTCCTAAGAATCTTATTTCACAACAACCGACTTTTTAAAAAAGTTCTTTATCTTTTGCGACAAAATCAATTTTATTCTCTAGTTGACATATTAATTCGGTCATCACTGAAATAATGGATAAGACAGACAGCTGTTTTATCGTATTTCTGACAATGTTATCAAATAATATCATTGAACAAATTATTTCCAAGTTTGTAGCAAGCACTCTATCACCTATTCAGCTGTTCATTGGGTTTATTTTTGTGTTTCAATAGCGATTTATAGTTGCTTACTAGTTAGATTTTGTAGGTTTTTTAATATCTGTTACAGTTAACTATGTTACCACTGTCATTCACAACCATTTAACATACTACTGTTAATATTGTCATTTCTGTGCGACTCTCTATTTATTCTCTTAATGATGTATTTTAGCGTTGCTGCTGTTTTGTCTTTTCTAGCCTCCTAAAAAGAATAAATCATCAGGCAGTCGTAGTCAACGTAAAAGTTCACGAAAATTAAGTAGTACTAATAAAAAGTCAAACAATCCATTAATTTTAAATAATGATTTACTACAAAGTATCGATGAATTAGATGATGTAACAATTCAATCGTTTGGTCAGGATTATTATCTATTTGTAATTAAACAATTAGAAATGCAAGTAATTGCATATGAAGATTATATTAAACAATTATCCATGCAAAATGAAAAAATTATAACAAAGGTAACCTTGTTGTTGTAGAAGTTAGTTTCTGGTCAATTAAAATGTTTACTAAAATCCTTTAATTTACATTAAGGTCATTTTAATTTGTCATTAACTAATGACTTAGAATGTAGCCGCATACATAAAGTGCACAAAATGACTGGTGTTATAAACTGTTGAAGATATGATCCCAATTTTTAAATGCATCCAATAGATCTTGGTCAGTTTCACATTACTCTGTGTGTTCTAGATTATTCAATCAGTCAAATGTAAACTTTGAATGGGTGGTCCAATCAGATGTGTATCAAATATAACAATATTAGAGTTGTCGGTGGCATTGACTACTGAT